TGCATGCATCGCGAGGACGTCTCAAGCGATAACGCGATTTCCAAGTCAATCGTGAGAGAAGCCAAAGCGAGAGCGTGATTCCTGAGCGCCGAGGGCGCATCGTCTGAATAAATTGCGAGGGAATCCCACGCGAGAGCGCGATGCGTAAACGAACTGTGAGGAAGTCCCGCGCGAGAGCGCCATTTGGGAATACATTGTGAGGAAATATCAGGCGGGAGCCGTTGTTGTTGTTGTTGTTGTAGTAAACCAGGGGCCAAGGCCCCAATTTGAGCCCCGTGACCTTACCTATCCAAAAATGGGATGCGAACCTCGGGGGAAACACTTCAATAGGAAAAACACAACGGTCACTGGAGGAAGGGGATCAACAACAATTGTTCTTCCGTAGTGAGAGCTCAATCATTTTAGGCTGTTCGCTCTTACTGGCACTCGTGTCGTGCATTCTATATACCCCAACCCTTTATACTCGCCCGCTTCGTGTTAGATCGCACCCCCCTTTCGAGGGAATATCTTCCCTGTCGGCCACTGGATGAAGTGCGAGGAACTCCCTAGCGAGAGCGCCGTTCCTGAGTTCTGGGGCCTCTCTGGCCAGGGAGAGGCTCTCGGAATACATGTTGAGAAATATCGAACGGGAGCCCTTGTCGCCGTGTCTGGGCCTCCACCAAGTTGACTGAATTACGAGAAATTCTCGAGCGAGAGCGCCACTCTTGAGTTCGGGGGAGGGCCTCTCTGGCAAGGGCCTCTGCGAATACATCTTGACGAAATATCGAACGAGAAACTGTGTCCTCGTAGTGGGGCCTCCACCAATTTGACTGAATCGCGATAGAATCTCGAGCGAGAGCGCCATTTCCGAGTTCGGGGGACTTCCTGGCCAGGGGCTCTCGGAATAAATCGCGAGGAGGTATCGAGCAGGAACCCTTGTCGTCGTAGTTCGGCCTCCGTCGACTTAAACTGAATTGCGAAACGAACTCAAACTTTCGCGCCGTTTCCTGACTTCGGGCGCATCTCTGGCCAGGGTGTCTCGGGGTAAATTGCCAGAAAATGTCACGCGGGAGCCCTTGTCGTTGTAGCTGGGCCTTCAAGCACACACATTTACAATCAAGCCCGCGCTCGAACGGGAGCCCCGCTTTCACAGGAATTGCAGCCGGCGTCGAAGTGAGAGCGCGCGGAACTTTTTCCAGAGACCAACAATAAACATGTTCTACAAATGGATATTCAACGACAACCGAAACACCACCAACAACAACAATCATTATAAGACTGTTCGCTCTTACTTGCCCGCGTGTCGTTCAAAACGAGTTCCCCACTCCCTCGATACCCGCCCCTTTTGTCTTCGATCACACCCCCTTGGGGGGGATATTTTCTCTTTGCGGGGGGCGGCGGGCTTAGACAGGCGGACAAACCTGAACGGGCGGACGATCCTTCGTGGGCGCACATGTGCCCGCCATTGGAATTGGTGTGGGCCCTGCACAAAGTTGAGGGGGAGAGCGAGGGAGAGTGAGAGAAAGGGGGGGGGCAGGGACGAAGGAAGAGGGAAAACGCCAGAATGGATAGAGAGAGAGAGAGAGGGAGAGAGAAAACAAAAACATGTAAGAGAGGTAAAGAGAAAAGAGAGAGAGAGAGAGAGAGGGGAGAGAGAGAAAGAAAGAGGGAGGGAGGAGGCAGGAGAGGGGAGGGAGAAGGGAGGAGGGAGAGGAGGGAAAGGGGATAGGGCAAAGAGACATAATGATCAGGGAAGAAAGGAGGGAGGGAGAAGGGAGGAGAGGAGGGAGGAGGGAGGGAGAGGGAGGAGGAGCAGGGACGTAAGAGCGTGAACGTTCGAGGAAGTCCTAAGCGAAAGCGCCGTTCCTGAAGGAAATCTCGGGCGGGAACCCACGACGGGCGGCGATCCCCTGACGGGCGGGTCGGGCGGGTGGGACAATCAAGCGGGATGCCTGGATATGGCGAGAGCGCGATTCCGAAGTGTAGCGGCGTCCTTGGCGCAGCGTGTTTCCTGAGCGTCGAAAGCGCGATTTCTGAATACATTGCACGGAAGTCACAAGCGAAAGCACAATTCCTGCATAAAATGTGAAGGGCTTTCTGGCGGGAGCGGGGGTTGATTAACTTGCGAAGCAGTCTTGGCTCAATTGCGAGGAAGTCTCAAGCGGGAGCGCCGTTGCTGAGTAAATTGTGAGGAAGTCTTAGATGGGAGCGGGGGTCCCGACTAAATTGCGAGGAGGTCACAGGCGGGAACACCGATTCTGAATAAATTGTGAGGAAATCTCAGGAGCGGGAATCCTGAGTAATTTTGGCGGAAATCTCAGGCGGGAGCCGCTGTTGTTGTAATCCGAAGGGCCGGGGGCCCAACTTGAGCACCAAGACTTTCTCTGACCAAAAAAAACAGGGTGCGAGCGTCGAGGGGCACACTTGGATTTAGAAAGAACAACATGTGCCGGTGAGGGGGATCAACAATAATTATGCTTAACAACAACAGTCGTTACAAGACTGTTCGCTCTTACTTGCCCGTGTGTCATTCAAAACGGGTTCCCCGCACCCTCGATACCCGCCCTTTTTGTCTTCGATCACACCTCCTTTGGGGGAATTATTTCTCTTTGCGGGGGCAGCGGGCTTAGACAGGCGGGCAAACCTGAACGGGCGGAGAATCGTGGGCCTTGCAAACAGAGGAGGGGAAGAACAAGGGTGACTGGGAGGGAGGGAGGGGGAGGGACGAAGGAAGAGGGAAAACGCCATGAGAAAAGGAGCGAAGGGGGGGGGCGGTTGATTCGAGGCAGAGAGAGAGAGAGAGAGAGAAAGAGAGAGAGAAAACAAACCAAATAATGGTAAAGAGAAAACAGGGAGAGAGAGAGAGAGAGAGAGAGAAAAAAAAAAAAAGGGAGAGAGAGAGAGAGGGATACATAAATATGGAAGGAGGAGGCAGGAAAGGGGAGGGAGGAGGGAGGAGGGCGAGGAGGGAAAGGGGATAGGGCAAAGAGGCATAGTGATCAGGGAAGAAAGGAGGGAGGGAGAAGGGAGGAGAGGAGGGAGGAGGAGGAGGAGGAGCAGGAAGGTAAGAGCGTGAACGTTCGAGGAAGTCCTAAGCGAAAGCGCCGTTCCTGAAGGAAATCTCGGGCGGGAACCCACGACGGGCGGGCGATCCCCTGACGGGCGGGTCGGGCGGGTGGGAATATCAAGCGGGATGCCTGAGTATGGCGAGGGCGCGATTCCGAAGTAAAGTGTAGCGGCGTCCTTGGCGCAGCGTGTTTCCTGAACGTCGAAAGCGGATTCCTGAATAAATTGCACGGGAGGTGCCAGCGAGAGCGCAACTCCTGAATAAAATGTGAGGGGCTCTTTGGCGGGAGCGGGTGCCTTGATTAACTTGCGAAGCAGTCTTGGCTCAATTGCCAGAAAGTCTCAAGCGGGAGCGCCATTCCCGAGTACATTGTGAAGAAATCTAAAATGGGAGCGGGGGTCCCGACTAAATTGCGGGGAAGTCACAAGCGGGAACACCGATCCGGAGTAAACTGTGAGGAAGTCTCAGGCGGGAGCGGGGGTCCTGAGTAAATTTGGAGGAAGTCTCAAGCGGGAGCCGTTGTTGTTGTAACCAGGGGCCAAGGGTACAGTTTGAGCACCAAGACTGTCCCTGTCAAAAAACCAAGTGCGAGCGTCGAGGGGCACACATTGACTGGGAAAAACAACATGCACCGGTGAGGGGGGATCAGCAATAATCATTCCTCAGTAATGGGACTACAACAACAACAGCAACAATCATTTAAGACTGGGGACACTCCGTTCTCACCAGTGCCAGGGTTTTCATAGGAGGCGGGCAATACCCCCACTTTGTGGGGGGGCCGGTTCAAGCTCTACCAAATTTCCATACGACTCTTCGCCACCACCCACACCCAGCTTCCCGCCCTATGACGTTCGGACACTTCACTTCGTGGCATGCGGACGACCGTGGCTACTATTCAGGGCCCCGCGGCCGACGACGACGGCGTGCGCGCGCGAAGAAAAAACGAATGTGTCCAATATGGTATTATTTGACAGGGATGATGGCCCTGGCATGCGCGCAACCGTTGTTGCAGAAGTTCGAAGCACGTGAAAAAGTTGCTCGCAAGAGCCCGTTTGACAGAAATGTTGAAAAAATATTGGGTTTCCTCAGAAATCCGCAAGAGCGCGCAAGATGATTGTTTGAAACTTTTTTTGTGAAAAACCATGGGTTTTTCATGTTTTTATGTTAAAATCGCTACGAAAACTAAGGTTTTGGAAGGATTTCATCTTGCGCGCGCGAGTGTGCACTTCGTGTCATTTTGTTCAAAGGATTCTTGAAGTTTGGTTATGTTAGAACAAGAAATTTCATGTTATATTGTTTTTTGCAAGGGAAAGCGGGCGTCAACAAAACAACCGGATCCGGACACCCACGTTTTGCCTGAGACTTCCTCGCGAAAATGATGAAAATGTGGCTGCGGCCTATGCGCGGCGAGGGGGGCGCGCACCAGGGGCCCCAACAATAATTATTCTTTAGAATAAATAATGTTCAACAACAACACGAACAACAAAACAACAACAACGAAAACAACAATCATTCTAAGACGGTTCGCTCTTACTTGCCCGAGTGCCATTCAAAACGAGTTCCCCACACCCTCGACGCCCGCCCTTTTTGTCTTCGATCGCACCCCCATTGGGTGGATTATTTCTCTTTGCGGGGGGCAGCGGGCTTAGACAGGCGGGCAAACCTGAACGGGCGGACAATCCTTCGTGGGCGTACATGCGCCCGCCATTGGAATTAGCGCGGGCCTTGCAAACAAAGGAGGGGGAGAACGAGGAAGAGCGGGAGGAAGGGAGGGGGAGGGACGAAGGAAAAGGGAAAACGCCAGGAGAGAAGGAGCGAAGAGGGGGGCGGTTGATTAGAGGCACAGAAAGAGAGAGAGAGAGAGAGAGAGAGAGAGAGAGAGAGAGAGAGAGAGAGAGAGAGAGAGAGAGAGAGAGAGAGACCAGAGTAGCATCGGAATGAGTTCTCCCACCGGCTAGCGGCCGCTAGCCACCGCGGCCCTCGCGCTCCCGCGAGCAGCCTGCCTCGCGCGCGGCGCCGGAGCAGCACTCGACCGGGCGGCGCGGAGCGCAGCCCGCGCATGCGCCAGCGCATCGTCGGGCGGCACGAAAAGCTCCGGCCGCGACGAGTGGTAGAAGTAGGACGCAATGACCGCGTGCTCGAACCGCTCGGCGCCCAGCGGCTGCTCGGCCGCCGTTCCCAGGCCGAGCCATGAGAGAGGCCCTCCTTCGATGAAGCGGCCGCCAGGCAGCACCCTGCCCAGGGCCAGCGAGACAGCCCAAGAGAGGCGGTCGCAGTTCACGCAGTGGCTGAAGCAATCGGGCGCGTCGCAGCCGAGGATGCAGGAACGGCGCCCCCGGGCGTCGAGGATCCTGCGGGGCGTGAGCCAGCCGCTGGAGAACGAGCGGATGACCTGGAAGGCCCAGGCCGGCGACGCCGTCGAGACCAAGTCCCCGAGCTGGCCCCACAGGATGGCGTGTATCTTCTCGGCCAACTCTGGCCACCACTTCAAGAGCCGCCGCTCGAATGTCTGCGACGGGTCGTGCCCTTCAAGCCAGGCCGACTCCACCGCCGCGCGCGCGCGCTGCTGCACCGCGGGCCTCCTCCCCCGCAGCCCAGCCTCCTCCAACTCCTCGAACAATGCCTGGCGCCCAACCGTCAGAAGAGCCTGCGGGTGGCTGGCTCCCTCGGGCAACGCAGCGATCCCCAGCGCGTCGGCCACGAACTCCGCATGCGAGGGCAGCTTCCACCAGATGGGGGCCAGCGCCCGCGAGGAGGCCATCGGCAACGGCACGAAGTCAATGGCGCCTTCCACTCGGCGCCAATGTCGAGAGAGAAGCGCTCGGAACTTCGAGAGCGCAACGCCGGCGGCCTGGATGAGGGCCGACACCGTTGCGACCTGCACCGACTGCGCGCGCGGGCCCCCCCACCCTTTCACCTGAACCCAGTCCTTCACCGCGAGGGCACCGATCGGCATCTTGAAGACCTCGGCCAAGGCCGTGGGCTCCTCGCGCCGGAGGTTCCACGGGAGCGGCAAGTACTGTCCGACATGCCCCCAACACGGGGAGGACCCTCGTTGCGCAGTACCGGGCCGACATCGTGACGGAGGTGACACCGTCCCCAACAGCGCGAGCGCGTTGCCTGCACCTGCGCCAGGGGGCGCGCCAGGCGATCTCCAGCGTCGCTGCGGGGCCAACCAACAGACCCAGGAAGAGGAGGCAGGGCGCGACCTTGAAGTCCGCCCACTGCGGCACGTGCTGGGCCAGCATCGCCTGGATCTTGGACTGCAGGGGCTCGCTAAAGGCCGCCTCCGTGGGAACCACGTGGCACTTGCTCGACTTCAAGACCAGATTCGCAAGCCTGTCCACGCATCTCATTATGCGGAGCATGCGCAAGATGCGCGCGAAGGCGACCAGCACAGCCGCCACGTCGTCCGCGCAGGCTCGCACAATCCCATGTCGCTTCTTCTCCACGTCAGCCTCGGCGTCGAAGAGAACGGGCGACATGGCGACGGCGAAGAGCGACCCCGAAAGGCCGTCGCCCCGGATGATCCCAGAGCGCTGCCAAAAGAGAGGGATCACGACGCCAGCAATGGCCGTCACCGCAAGCACCGCCGCATACAGCTCAATAGCGAACTCGATCACGGTTTCGGGGAAGCCGAACCTGCGCAATACCATAACCAAGAAGAGCTGGTTCAGCGATGGGAACGCCTGCGCGAAGTCGAAGCTCACCGTGATCGGCGACTTCTGCACCACGTCAGGTTGAGCGCTGCGCCACCGCGATTCCAGGTCCACCTCCAAGATGTCGTACCCAAAGTTCCGCCCCCGCACGAAGCCTCTCTGGGAGAGTGGGATGATCTTCGCCAGCGGCTCCTGCAGCGCCACGTTCACCGTGGCCGTGAGGATCTTGCTCGACCAATTGCGCAAGCCCAGCACGCGAACTTGGTCGGGGGGCCTGGCACAGCGCCCGTCGACACCATCGGACTCGTCCTCGCCCTTCGGCAAGAAGGCGAGTAGCGTGATGGACTCGGCGTCGAAGAGGCCCTGGCCCGAGAGGAGCCAGCAACACGCGGCCCGCAGCACCTCAAGACAATGCGGCGACTCCGCCCGCGCACTGCAGGGGGGCCCGTCGATGCCTGGCGCCGAGTGCGTCGCCTGACGCGCCACCTTCACCATGAGCTCGTGCGATGGTGGCGGCACGGTCGAGAAGTCGAACGGCTTGATCATCCTATCGACGCACCTCTGCGCTGCCGGAGGGGCCCAGGCCTTGCGCGAGAAGACGGGGGCCCAGTAGCTGGACAAGGCAGCAGCCCGTGCTCGAGGCTCCGTCACCGCCTCGTCGCCCACCTTCACCGCCGCCAGCGTGACGCAAGAGGCGAAAGGCGACCACATCTTCATCTTCCGCTCCAGGGCGCGCGCCCGGCCACGGGCGGCCGACGCGCGATGCCCGCGCGCAGCAGTAGCCAGGAGCTCCTCGCGGTCCGCGCCGAGGATCGAAGAGTGCACGTCGTTCGTCCAGGCTGCAAAGACCTCTGGCTCCAGCAACGCGACCGCAGACTCCGTGACGTGCAAATGGTTGGTGGCTACCTCGAACTGGTCTCGCGGCCTCCTGGCCAAGGCCACGTCCTGGCGCCAGATCACCTTTGCCATCGCGCGGGCAACCTGCTGCTGGACGGAGGCAGGCAAAGCCGGTGACCCTACGAACCCGGCAGAAGACGACAGAGGGTCACCGGCGGCAAGCGGGGTCGGTGACCTTGCCGACCGGGCAGCGGGCCCCCGAAGGTCACCGGCGAGAGGCCGCCCGAAGCCCCCGAGGATGCGAGCTCGGACCTCCGCGGCAGCAGCCCTCATCACCTCCTTCATGAACTCCAAACGCCGCGGTGGAGACAGCTCCTCGACCTCCAGCCCTTCCACGATGGCCTCCACGTACTCTGCGTACTTCGGGTCCTTGAAGACAGACTGCGGCATGGCTTGCTGCTGACCAAACTCCGCACTGACGGCAGCATGGTCACTGATCCGCTGCCGCTCGAGATCAACCGGGCAGCCGTGGACGCGCATGCTCTTCTGCAGCTGGCGCAGCACCCAGCCAGGCCACGACGCAAAGATCCGATCGATGCATGAGACGGCGTAGCCGCTCTTGTAGTAATGCGTGGGCATCGGCGTGCGGAGCTCCGTCAGCACATCCAGCGCTGCCGCCCAATGCTTCGCCGCTGCGTGCTGCGGGCGGGGCTGCCGCTGAGCAGCCACGGGGGCCTCATGCGACAAGCGGGACACGCTGGCAAAGTTGAAGTCCCCCACGACGATGAGGAGGCGGGAGCATGGCTCCGCCACCGCCCAGGCTTTGTCTCCCAGGAGCCTCTGGCTCAAAATGCCGACAGTGCTCGCGGACAACGCGTGGTTGTGGATATTTCCAATGCAAAATCTCGTGGCCCGAGGAAGGATTATTATACGAAGTCGGAGAACCCGACCACGAACAACTCCTTCAGGTCCCACTGACACCCCCGGAGCCCGAGGAACAGCAGTCGCCACCCCACCACAAGCGAGGCCCACTCCATCACGAGTAAAGCAGCTTGTGAAGATTTCCGATCCAGGGACAACCCGTTTCAAACAATCGCGAACTTGACGTCCATCTTGCCGAACTTCTTGAAGAGAAAGAATAGTAGAACCGCACCCCAGGTTTTGCAGGTACTTGAGTTTCGTGCTGCCCAGCCTCCCCCGCCACTGGAAGAGCGCCCTCGCATTCCACGTCACCACGCGCACTGTGCCACAGTGCGGCCGACCCCCAACACCGTGGACACGAGGTATGAGCATGCGGCCGAAGGGGTCAAAGACACCACTCAGGCTCCGGAGCCGGCGCCACCACCTGCTTGAGAGCCTGCGCAACGTCCTCGCGAGCGAGGCCCAGGTGGCTGAGCCCCGCATGGTTGTACTTGATAATGGTCTCCTCGTTGTTGGGCTGGGGTTCCAACTTGCACACCATCGTCCACGAAGTCGACAGCGTGCCCTTCTCGCGGTTGACGAACCACGGCCGCCCCGCGAAGGCGTCAGCCAGCGCCGCCTTCGCCTTCTTGAGCTGCACCTCCGTCTTGATATGCTTGCCGTTCTTGTCGGGCCCAAGGTTGAGGCGCAGCGAGCCAGTCCCCGCCGCAGACGGCGCGTGGAACTCAATCCACCCATCCTTGCCACGAAGTCCTGCAAGAGCCTTGCCAGCACGACGGGACGCGATGCCCAACGCGCCCGTGAACCGGAGCGTGAAGGACTTGCTGGCCATCTCACCCTCGAGCTTGGAATGGTCGCCATCGATGCGCAAGTCCGCCAACCACGGGTCGAGCTGGGCCTGGACGTCCACCTTCTTGACCAAACCCCCGCACAACACCTTGATGATGGTCGGGTCAGGCTCCCGGTCCCGCAGAGGGCCCGCGGGGGCGGGCTGCAGCGGACGCTTGTCCGCCAGCGCCAGAGCAGCCCGCAACTCTGCCATCTCAGTCCGGACAGCCGCCAACTCCGCCGTGTGCGCGCTGGATGCCTTCTCGAGCGCACCGAGCCGCTGGGCCTGCGCGTCAAGCTGCGCCTGGAACCTTCTCGTGGCGGTCTCGAGCTGCGGGCGGACCGAGTCCTGGACGGCCTGGTCGACCTGCGCCTTGATCTTGCCCTCCACTGCTCCCAGCGCTGACTGCAGGGAGGAGAGGGCGGTCTGCACTGGGTCGACAGCTGTTGCCACGGCGGCCGAGATAGACTCCGGGACCTTTTGTTCGATCTTGTCCATGAGATCCGTGCGCAGGTCGTCCACCAGACTCGTGATGTAAGCATCGCGATGCTCAGCAGCAGCATCATCCTCAGACATGTCGCTGTCCAGGGCCTCGGCGCCATTCGCAGCCGTAGCACCCTTCGCCTTATCCTTGCCTCCCTTTCGGCCGTTTCTTAGGAGCCATGCACAGGGCGGCCGGCTCTCCCACGGGTGAATGGTGCACCGACGCGAGGAGAGGGTCCGAGAAAACAGTCGGGGTATGTCCTCGGATCAGAGGTCTCCACGCCGCCGCAGAACGACATACGACATGGGGTCTTGCGCCAAAATGGTTTGAGCCAACATGGCTACGGAGAGAGAGAGAGAGGAGAAAGGGAGAGAGAGAGAGAGAGAGAAAACACAAAAAAATACATATAAGATAAGTAGACATAGAGAGAGAGAGAGAGAGAAGGGATATAGAGAGAGAGAGAGAGAGAAAGTAAGAGGGAGGGAGGAGGCAGGAGAGGGGAGGGAAAAGGGAAGAGGGAAAGGAGGGAGAGGGAATAGGGCAGAGAAGCATAAGGATGAGGGAAGACAGGAGGGAGAGAGAAGGGAGGAGGGAGAGGGAGGAGGAGCAGGAAGGTAAGAACGTGAACGTTCGAGGACGTCCGAAGCGAAAACGCCATTCCTGAAGGAAGTCTCGGGCGGGAGCCCACGACGGGCGGGCGATCCCCTGACGGGCGGGTCGGGCGGGTGGGACAATCAAGCGGGATGCCTGAGTATGGCGATTCCTAAGTGAATCGTGGCGGCGTCCTTGGCGCAGCGTGTTTCCTGAGCGTCGAAAGCGCGATTCTGAATAAATTGCATGGAAATCACAAGCGAGAGCGCAATTCCGGAATAAAATGTGAAGGGCTCTCTGGGGGGAGCGGGGGTCTTGATTAAATTGCAAAGGAGTCTTGATTCAAATGCGAGGAAGTCTCAAGCGGGAGCGCCGTTCCTGAGTAAATTGTAAAGAAATCTCAGATGGGAGCGGGGGTCCTGACTAAATTGCGAAGAGGTCACAAGCGACAGCACCGATCCGGAGTAAATTGTGAAAAAGTCCAAGGCGGAAGCGGTGGTCCTGAGAAAATTTGACGGAAGTCTCAGGCGGGAGCCGTTGTTGTTGCAATCCGGGGGGGCCAAGGGCACAGTCTGAACACCAAGACTTTCCCTGCCCAAAAACAGGGTGCGAGCGTCGAGGGGCTGATTGGGAAAAATATGCACCCGTGACGGGGGGCAACAATAGTTATTCTTCAGAAATAAGAATTCAATCGTTCTAAAGCTGTTCGCTCTTACTTGGCCGTGCGTCATTCAAAACGAGTTGCCCACACCCTCGATACCCGCCTCTTTTGTCTTCGATCACATCACTTTCGGGTGGATTATTTCTCTTTGCGGGGGGCGGCGGGCTTGGACAGGCGGGCAAACCTGAACGGGCGGACAATCCTTCGTGGGCGTACATGTGCCCGCCATTGGAATTGGTGTGGGCCCTGCAAAAAGAGGAGGGGAGAACGAGGGAGAGTGGGAGGAAGGGACGGGGAGGGACGAAGGAAGAGGGAAAACGCCAGGAGAGAAGGAGCGAAGAGGGGGGCAGTTGATTAGAGGCAGAGAGAGAGAGAGAGAGAGAGAGAGAAAAACAAAAAAACAAAAAACAAAAAACAAAAAAACATCTAAGAGAGGTAGAGAAAAGGAGAGAGAGCGGACAGAGAGAGAGAGAGAGAAAGAGAAGAAAGACGGAGGGAGGAGTTAGGAGAGGGAAGGAAAAGGGAGGAGGGAGAGGAGGGAGAGGCGATTGGGCAGAGAGAGGCATAAGGATGAGGGAAGAGAGGAGGGAGAGAGAAGGGAGGAGAGGAGGGATGAAGGAGAAGGGAGAGGGAGGAGGAGCAGGAAGGTCAGAGCGTGAACGTTCGAGGACGTCCTAGGCGAAAGCGCCATTCCTGAAGGAAGTCTCGGGCGGGAGCCCACGACGGGCAGGCGATCCCCTGACGGGCGGGTCGGGCGGGTGGGACATTCAAGCGGGATGCCTGAGTATGGCGAGAGCGCGGTTACACAATAAATGTGACGGCGTCCTTGGCGCAGCGTGTTTCCTGAGCGTCGAAAGCGCGATTCTGAATAAATTGCATGGAAATCACAGGCGAGAGCGCGATTCTGGAATCAAATGTGAGGGGCTCTCTGGCGGGAGCGGGGGACTTGATTAACTTGCGAGGAAATCTTGACTCAATTGCGCGGAAGTCTCAAGCGGGAGCGCCGTTCCTGAGTAAATTGTGAGGAAGTTTCAAATTGGAGCGGGGGTCCTGACTACATTGCGAGGAGGCTACAGGCGGGAGCACCGATCCTGAGTAAATTGGGAGGAAGTCTCAGGAGCGGGGGTCCTGAGTAAATTTGGAGGAAGGCTCAGGCGGGAACCGTTGTTGTTGTAATTAATCCGGGGGGCCAGGGGCTCAGTTTGAGCAGGCAGATTTTCCCTGTCAAAAACCAGGGTGCGAGCGTCGAGGAGCACACCTTGGCTGAGAAAAAACAGCATGCACCGGTGAGGGGGGATCAACAATAATAGTTCTTTAGAAATGAGAATTCAACGCAAACGCCAACACCAACACCAACAACAACCACAACCACAACCACAACCACAACCACAACCACAACCACAACCACAACCACAACCACAACCACAACCACAACCACAACAACAACAACAACAACAACAACAACAACAACAACAACAAGCACTACCAGAGCCATAGATCCCACAAAAAACATTGCGCGAAAAACCAAGACTGGAACCCTAAACACCACTTTTCTACGGCATTCTTCGAACCGGATCGATCCGTATGGCCCCGTGGCCCGAAACTTGGTGAGAACGCCCGGTGGGACACAATTGCAACGCCGACAGGAGAGAGATTTGGGACGGGAAGGAATCGGGAGCGTCTGAAGAGGGGGGCGTCTGAGAGGCGGGGGTCGCATATTACAGCCCGAGGCATGTGCGCCGCCTAGAGGGGGAGGGCAGGGGACGTAGGAGCAAAACAAATCGCCATGAAATAAGGGGAAGCTATCGTGGCTCCCGCCACCATATCCACACACACACACACACTCTTACGTCGGCGGCTAGGCAGAAGGACTGCGCTGGCGGATAGGGCGTTGGTAAGACAAGCGAACGCGAAGTAGGCCGCGGTGCACGAGGGAGGGAGAAGGAGACGCCCGGCACAAACACACACACACACACACACACACACACGCACACACGCGCACACACACACACACACTATTCATCACCCCCCTCCCCCACACCCTCGACGTGTTATGAATTCTGCATAACGTCAGCCCCCAGAGGTCTCGACTCACTCCCAAGGCCCGTTTTGCATCCCGAGTCCTTGATGGAAGGCCCCGGAGCCCAACGAGGGCCCCCGCAGGCCGAAAATCGCCAAAAACCGCCCGCGGTGATCTCCTCATGACCCGAGGGGGCTGGGCTTCGCCGCTCTCGAAAGGAGGAGACAAAGCCACAAAGGCCGTCGAGTATGGGATCGACTACAGAACTCACTGACCCCAGGAATTATCTGCGCGTCGAGTCTACAACAGAAAATTGCCGACTGCTTGCACATCTACGAAGCATGCTACGAACTTGTCGCAGATTCGACGAAACCACTAACTCTGGGGTCGATCAATTACGTAGTCGATTTCCTACTCCAAGGGAGCGGCCCCGGAAGCTCCTTTCCTTTACTGGGGACCGGCTTTTCATCCTGAGTCACTTTTTGACGGTCCCAGGGCCCAGCGAGGGCCCCGAGAGGACGAATACAAAGAAGAACATCCCGTCCCGATTTTTGTTTACGACGCGAGCATGTCTGGGTTGGCCGTCCCCGAGCGGAGGAGGCAAGACTACCAGGCCCACACGTGCGATCATGTGCGGGAGGGGGGCCCGGAGCGGGCGGCCCCGCGGATCCTCGGAACCCGTCACCAAGAGCGTGGGCCCGGGGAGCGGCAGCCGCCCGCTCAGCGAGGCCTCCTCACCGCGAGGCTGCCGTTGAGGCTCGTTGTCCCCTCGTTCCTCGTTCCCTGCTTCGAGGAGGAGGAGGACGAGGAGGAGGAGGAGGAGGAGGAGGAGGAGGAGGAGGAGAACGAGGAGGAGGAGGAAGAGGAGGAGGAGGAGGAGGAGGAGGAGGAGGAGGGGGACGGGGAGGAGGGGGAGGAGAGGGGGAGGAGAAGGAGGAGGAGGAGGAGGAGGAGGAGGAGCAGGACGAGGAGGAGGAGGAGGAGGAGGAGGAGGGGCAGCAGTGGACTGAGGGGACGAGCCCATCCTTCGCGCCTCGCCGCCGCGGACCGCGGGGGGCGCCTTAGTAGAGGAGGCGCAGCTGGCTGCGCGCTTCGACGACAAGGTCGTTGTCGCCGTCCTGGTCGAGGAGCTCCGCGTGGGTGATGTTGATGTCCAGCATGCAGTTGGGGGCTCGCTTACTGCGATCACGTTCGGGGGGCCGTCGAGGTCAACTTCATTGATGACGGAGGGGGGCGGTGGCTCCGTGAGAGAGCCTGAAGTGGTGGCCTCCAGAGGACGCTGCAAAACTTCATGAGGCCGTGGGAGTACAGGTACTGCTGAGATGAGGTCATCAGCGTCGGACGTAGTGATGATGTTGTAGCCGTGGTCACGACAAGCGACAGAATGTGACAGTGGCTCGGCAGCAAAACGTCCAATCGCTTCGTCATGAGGACCTTCAGGCGGCCGTGGAAGCAGAGGTACCGCAGGGCTGACGTCGTCAGCAGCAGAGGAAACCATGGCGCGGGAGCCGTGGCCGCGGGGGGCCGTAGGAAGTGACGGCGACTCGGCAGCAGGACGCTCAGCCGTGTCACCCTGAGGTAAGCGATTCTGAGGAGCAGATCGAGCCGTGACTCCCTGGGGTCGCGGTGGTGAAGGAGGCGGAGCTGCGCCATGTTGGAGGCGACCACTGGCTGCCCGAAGAGCGCGGATATGCGAGTCGTACTGCGAGCCTTTCCAGTTGTCTGCATGAGCATGGCACAACTCGAGGACGAAGTAGTAGGCGAGCACTAGGCGCTGGACGGTGTTCGGCAGAGACCGCTCGCGCGCTGGCGCCGGTGGGCAGTCGGCGGCAGCCCCGGGCCGAATGCGCGCCAATGGCTACGAACGCGCGAAGGTACGAGGCAAGCGCGCGAGATGGGTCAGGCGAGGGCGCTGGAGATAGTGGCCGATGGCATCGGCAGCCACGCATCCCAGGATGCAAATCGTGCGATCGGGTCGCAGATGCATTCTACGGGTCGCATGCCATCCCCCGCAGATTGAGCCGAGTGCTGCCCAGCGCCGGGCCGCCGAGATCTGGCGAAGATGTTCACGGCGGTGCATCCAACGCCGCTGGAGATCGCGCGGGGCGACCTCTGGACCGAACCACGCAGCGATCCCCTTGGAGAGAGTGTGCCACAGACGATCAGGATTGGCCAGGTGGGCGACTGCTCGTTGCAGGAACCGTTGCGGACGCGGCCGTGGCCCATCGGCAGTGGCCTCGGCGAGCTGGCTCTGGGCGTCGCGGATGGTCTGGAGCATCTGGTTAGGCGCAATCTTGATTGGGATGTCCGTGGGCCCCTCCTGTATGCGGGCAAATCGCTGCGCGATCGCCGTCGGAGTTTGCCAGAATGCAGGTGACCATCGGCCCCTAATGCGCGACGCCAGCGGGAGGTGCTCCAGGGCAGCGTCGCCCAGGAGGTCGAGGCGTTGCCGCCGCGCGTAGATCGCGCACAGGGGCGCGCGCCATAACGAAGCAGCGTTGTAGGGCACAAGAACATGTGGAGTCGGAGAAGGAGACCAAGCAGCGAGCGCCACAATATCCGCGAGACGCATAATGTTTTTTTGGGCCGCAATACTCTATTGGGCGCATGGATCCCGCGCCGTGAGATCTCGCGCGGGCGGGCGAAGAATTGCGCGAGGTAGCGAAAGACCGCGACGCAGGAGGTCTGGCAAAGCCTGGCCAGCACATCTGTTGGAACTCCTGTATTTAAAAGGGCCACAATCCGCATCCACCACGCATTGGAAGAAGCCTGCCATTGTAGTTGATTCGTTGCTGCAGGCCCAATCTTCGCAGCAAGGAAAGCGTCAAACCTTCGGGTGTCACAGTAACGTGTTGCCATTCAGGGATGTTGCTGGCGAGGAACGCACGGACTTCTTGCTGTACCTGTGGTGTCCATGAGGCCCACGGCGGGATGATGGCGAACTTCTTTGAATGGAGCGTTGAAGACCACATGGAGCGCTGGGAGGTCCTGTAGTCGGTTGAGGCGCGACCCCAGATCATCGGCACATGCTAAAGTGGTACCCACGTCAGGCAAGCCAATCTGCGCGTCGAGCGCGCGAGTGATGACGTCCATTGCAATGGCCCTGATCGCGCCCGGCAGGGGGCGCCCTTGTGCAAGCCCCGCAGGGGTGGAAAAATGTAATGGTAGTCTCCAAGTAACCTGGCCACTCCATGGGCGTTGTGGCAAGGGGCGCGCACAGCACCCGCGAAGCCCTGATCGAAGCATAAGTTCGTCAACGTGGCAAATAATCAGTCGCGGCCCAAAGATGGAAACGCAGCCGCGACGTCAACGATTAATCCAGTGGGCGTCCTCCTCGACAGGGATGCGCATCTACCCATTGAGTGCAGCTGCGAGCAGCTTGCCGTCGGTGCCCTTGCGCGAAATCGCACGAAGGGTGTCGGGCGTCCCGGCGCAGACAGAGGTGCCCTCATCGCCCACACCTTTCGGCATAGAAGAGAAGACGGAGTCCTTGAATGAAGCCTGCCGGTGCCAGATCCGGATTCCGGCATGTCCCAGGTCAGGTCATCGCGCGCGTCCAAAGCGTTGGGCGCCGAGAGCCATGCACGGCGTGGTAGACGATCGGGTCCAGGAGCAGACGCTCTGACACGCCAGTTGCGGAGGTCGAGGTAGAGAGGGAGCGCGCTGCTGCTCGAAAGTTCCCACGGCGTGGCGGTCGTCATCCGCGCGGGCAAGGATGGGGGGCAAGCGGGCTTGGAGCGCCTGTGCCATGTCACGAGAGGCGGTTGCAATCGTCTGCTTATCCGAGAGGCGGATGCCAACCAGTTGGGCGATTCTGACAGAGGGAGCCCAGGCTCGAGCTCGGCGATGTGCTGTGCGGACTCCTCCGTTGGCGAGCTGCCCCCAGCTCGCGTCCTCCCCGTGCCGCGCGCTGGGCCGCTGCAGCTCCCTGTCGCTTCTGCAAGAGGTAGTGGTCGTAGTGGGCCTTCTGGGGCAGCTCCGCAAACGCCTACTCATCCGTGAGATGCGCGCGATCGTTCTCATGCTGGGGCAATCGGCTGGCATGCGAATCCATCGTGAGAAGAGTGGCCGCAAGCGCTGTGCCCTGGCGCCGCGCCGCTCGCGAAATCGAGCGATGCACCAAAAACCGCGCCTCAGCGGGGGCTTGTCCCGTTGATCACCAGTCAACTGTAGAAGATGATTCCTGGCGAGGCGCGCCGCCTCGACCACGTTTGCTTCGATCGCCCCCCGTGCCGAGGTCGCGGCGGGAGTGAGGCCCTTGGAACGCTGAGGAGGTTGTGGAACTTGGGGCACATAGGGAGGGCGAACAGGAACACTGGAATGAGCTGCGCGTTCTCCTTGCGCGGGGTCGCAACGTCGACGTGCGGCGCCAGAATGGCATGGCCACTGAGTCGACGGTCACTGAGAGTAGTAGCATCGCGCAGGACGCGGGCCCGAAGATGGAGGTTGGGAAACGCATGGGCAAGAAGGCTGCGGAAGATGCGGTCAACGCGCGCCTCGGTAGCCGTGCCGTGATCGCATCGCGTCGGTCCTCCAGAGATGATCTCCGTCACGAGTGAAACGTGTCGCCCCCAACTGGATTGCTGACGCGCATGCCCACTTGGGGCGGGAAATTGCAGACGCCCAGGGCGACGGACTTGAACCGCAGGGTCGTCGTGAATATTGAAGTCGCCAAGAGCCAAGACAATGATATCCATGGGGCGCTGCTGCGCCCGTCGCTGAGCAGCGTGTCAATGCTGGAAGATCGCCTCGCGCTAAGCAGCGGGAGTGTCATAGTTGTGTATATGCACGAGGATTACGAGGCGCTCTTGAACCTGATTCAAGCGACTGCACCTGACCGCTGTCAGGACACGATGGAACACAATGATATGGGATGAGGCGGTCGGCGGCGTCGCAAGAACAGAAGGCCACCGAGGTCCTGGGGATGTCCATGAGATGGCGCCAGGTGGCGTTGCCGCTGGGGGAAAGAGGTTCGACCTTCGCGCATGCGATGATGACGACGGGGCCGTGGCCAAGGATATCGACGCCGTCGGAGTAAAGGGCGCGGGGCAGCAAGCAGAAGTCAACGATGGTGGCGAACAGGCGCTGGAACGTCGTGGAGCTATCCCCACCCCAAGTCCCTCAGCGTGGCAAGTGGGAACAGTGGGTGCAGCTGTTACCTGCAGAGGGGAACCATCATGCCACGTCGTAGATGCAGGGCATGTCAAATCTCTCTGGGGTAGTCTGGGGGATCTTGTAGACAAGGTGCTCGGACCACCGCGGGAAGTCGCGCTTCGCGGGGCTGCCGAACCCGCGCCCGACGACCGCGACGTAGGACCTGGAGAGCCGGTTCATCGACGGGTCGCAGCGAAGGGCGGCCCGCCTCGCCCGGCCGCGCAGGTCGAGGGAGAGCTCTGCACTGATGCAGGGGGCCTTGCCGTAACCGAAAAGGTGGAAAGCGGAGGCAATGTCGCTGCCTCCACAAGATTCGGGAAGGATTCGGGCATGGCGCAGTTTGTCGCAGCGGCAGCTGCGGCAGGCACCTGAGAACATGCTGGCGAGTGGGCTGAGAGTTGCATCAGTGAAGTGCATTCTCAATGGTTCTGGATGGCCTCTGAATGCCCGTCCCCCAAGATGGGGGGGCGCCAAGATCGCGCGGATGATTCGGGCCGCGCCATCCTCGGAGCCGATCACGAAGCTGGCGACTGCGAGCATGTTCATGCTGGCGCTGAGGATTGTCAACAATCTCGTTGA